CCCCGCGGGATTTAAATAAACATGGCCGCCGCTTTTTTTCCGGCTTGGGGAAAAGCCAGAAAAGAGCATCTAGACTGGCGCGATCCTCCGGAATAAAGCCCTATTCCTGAGGATCTCTTATTCCTACTTGCAAGTGGAATACTTGCAAGTGCTATACTTGCAAGTAGGAATAAGAGATCCTCCGGAAAAGGACTTTATTCCAGAGGATCGCGCCAGTCTAGACGCTCTTTTCCGGCTTTTCCCCAAGCCGGAAAAAAAGCGGCGGCCATGTTTATTTAAATCCCGCGGGGAATATTTAAATCCCCCACGGATTTCCCTATTCTGACTTGCCTGCTTTGCATGCCTCTTCCGGAGAAGGGGCCAGTCTAGACGTAGCCTGGGTGTGATCTTGCTCCACCCAAGTCAATGGGAACTTTGCCATGACTTCAATGGGCAATACACAATGATTGTGCCCTACATAATCCAACGGTAATTCTCCATCTCTTCCAGCTGGGGTAGTCCAAATAAAGCCCAAACTCTCACGTTCAGTTCTAACTCCCTTTCTGTAGGACCAGTTTTATTAGTAACCAGAAGATGCAAGGGGCTCAAAGTCATGCAAAATGCTTGGTAACAGAGGCCTATTCTGCTTTCCACAAGTAAGGAAGGGAGAGGACTTGCTTTTCCCCCTGGGTAACCCTTCCTTGCTATTCCTTAAGTCCCAAGAGCTACACATTCAATTCACTAAAACACAATCCTTTCCCCCACCCATCCTACTCCACATCTGGCGGATTCTTGTGGATTTCCTCTCCACCAAGCCTCATTCCAAAATGCCTGGCCCTGCCTACCATTGAATAATACAAATATTTCATCTCCATGGACTTTTCTGGATAAGCCTCAGGGGGAAATCTCCACAGCCATCCCTTCTAATCTTTCCTAGTATTCCCCAGGCACACCTATTGCACTAGGACTAGGGTATCTTTGTGTCTGGAGTAGGCAGCGGGAGGGAAAAGGTGATAGCAAATACTGTGGTTTCATGAATAAGGAATTTATTTGAGCAACAGTAACTTCTCTGGCTCTCTCCACCCTGTTAATCACGCTGAGCAAACATTCCACATGTCAAAGTGCTGCTCTTACAGATAAGAGCTAACTCAGTAATCCCCATCCCTCCTGTTCTCAGCTTGATCTGAACTTTCAGCACTTGATACCACTGAGCTCAGTAGTGCTATACTTGCAACCTGGAAGGAATGCTTTGTTCAGCTAGCTGGCAGAGTTCCTGCCACACAATAGATGTTGCAGGGCCCCGTTCTAATTGTCAAGAGTTCCCTTATTTTGAAGGACAGCTCATGGAACATTAGGGTCTAAATCTTCAAAATGGATTTGGTCTAAAGTCTAAAACTCTGCTTGCAGTTTAGAGCAATGATTCTCAACTTTTTTTTATAAAGTACCCCCCTTTAAAAATATATAAGTACGCTCCGTAACTTTAGTTTTCAGGTATACCACATTTGTTTCTACCATTGCAGAATAGTTGTTTAAACAACTTAATCGTAGCCGGGAGAATGATGAAATTTTTGGGTGTAAAAAATACAAAAATAATAAAGCGCTATAAAACTTAAAACAAAAATTCAGTTTTCTGCAAATGTCAGTTGTGTTGATAAACCCCCCGGACTTCTCTCAAGTACCCCTAAGGGTATTTGTACCACTGGTTGAGAAACACTTGTTCAGAGCACATGATAATTCACACGCAAATTTTTGAGAATCTGTAAACTCAGATTTGTGTCTGAAAATTAGTTGGGCATAGCTAGGCTTCTGCTTGATCTACATGTGCAAATGTTGCTTGCTGGAGTAAATCTACATCCAAGGCATACAGATGGATAGCCACAAAGGTGTAGTTTTAAAGGTGGCCTCAAAACTGTCCTAAAAAAATTGGGGGCTGACACACCATCATCACATTGTGATGGTTGCCCAGCAACAAAGTGACAGCTGTGCTGAGTCTTTCACATATTTGAGCACTCCTAGAGGAGTAATCACTGTGGACCCAATGACCATTGCATTGCAACATAGTGATGTTTGCATGACTATGTGGAGACATCATGGGATGCTAGTGTAGTAATATGGTGACATTTGCAGTCTGCTGGGGTGCTTACGTGGCCTTCATTGCCTTATCATCTAAGTTCCTCATAAGCCTTAATTGGCTTTATTGCATCAACACTGCTGTGAGGTAGAGAAATATTCTATTTCAGATGAGGAACCGAGGGTAAATTAAGTTAAAAGGACACAGAGGAAGTAAGTGACTAAGCCTGGAACTGGATGCTGATTTCCTGCATGCCATTTCAATGCTTTAACCACAAGGCCATCCTTTCCCTTGTAATGAAGTTATTTTTGCTCTGTTGCATCACTAAAAGACTTATCTGGTGTCACGTGGGTCCTTCAGGGCAAAGGCTGGCAGTGGGGGGGGGGATACAGGAGTCAGGACAGGGCTTTAGGGATGTGGAGGGTTTGGGGGAGGAGGCCGGGCTCAGGGGGAGGGGCCTCAGGAGTCAGGGTGGGGGTTGAGGAGGGGCTAGGAACAGAAGACTAGGGTTGGGGGGTGAGGAGAGGCTCAAGGCAGGGGGCAGAGAGTGCAGAAATCAGGAGAGAGGGAGAAGGGATCTTGGTAGGGGATCAGAATAGTCGCTGGCTTCTCCCTCAGGACGGCCCAAGGCAGCAGAGGGATCACGCACCCCACCCACTGGCTTGTCCCCAGGATGGGAGGGGGGCCGTGCATCCCACCCTCTGGCTTCTCTGTGGGTAGCCTGAGGCAGAGGGGGAGGGCTGCACACCCTGCCCACTGGCTTGACCAGGGAACCAGGTTGGGGGGGAGGGGCTGGACAGGCAGGGAGGAGAGCTGGTGGGGCTTTCTCCCTCCCCCCTCTCTCCTCCCAGGGAGGAGGTGCTGTCAGGACTTTCTCCCTTCCTCCTCCTCTCTCCTGATCTGTGGTGCCAATGGGCACCAATCTGTGGTGCCAAGTCTGACAGGAGGGGAGAGAGATCTCCCCTTCTACTCTGGCACTGTGGCCAAGGGTAGGGGGGCCACCTACCTGGCCCGGTGGCTGGTAATATGCAAGCCAGATTCACAACTGGTCACTCTCTTGGTGGTGTGGCTGCCTCCAGTGGTCACTCTGCACTATTGCTGTCCTCTGATCAGCTCCCTCCCTTTCCATCTTATGAAAAACAATCCCATTCCTGGCAGATCCTGTTTTCCTGGCACAACCAAATCCTGACCTTGCTTTAAGTTATGATAAGAGAAAGCTGCATTATCAAATTTGGTGGTCCTAGCTTTTACCAAATAGAAGGAGACTTACAGATGGATGGACAGACAGACAGACAGACAGAAAAATGCACAATTCTGAAATATGTAGATAAGATAACAGTCAAAACGTTGAAATACAACTTTTTCCTGTGACAGAACATAAACTTTCTCCCCGACATCAAGATTTAGAACATGGAAAATATCAACTATATAAACCCAGTGTAGCCCATATTATATGGGTTAAAATCTGGTTAACTGGTAGATCTCAAAAGTAACTGTAAATGTGGAGTCATCAGCCTGTGAGCATGTTTTCTAGTAAGCTTCTGAAGAGATCTCTTTTTGGCGGAGTGTTGTTCCAATGTTTATCAATCATCTGTAAGAAAATTAAAATTGTTGCTAGCAAAATTTGCAGACCATTCGATTATACAGGCTGATCTGAATTGCTTGGTACAGTGGGCTGATTTTAACAAAATGGGTTTTAATAAAGCCATAGTAAAGCCGAACATGTTGGAACAGACAATGCAGTGACCTTCAAAAAGTCTTAGGGCAGTGGTCCCCAACCAGTAGATCGGGATCTACTGGTAGATCTTGGAGCCTCTGACGGGTGATCCTGACTGGTTTGGCCAAGAGGCCATTATCAAGTGCAGGCACTTCATCTGCCCATCCCCCCACTGCTGCACATCTCCTGCCCTTTGCCTTGAAGTTGTCCCCTTAGGAGCTTCCTGCTTGTTGTGCAGGGCAGAGGAGGAGAGGAGGGTGCTGATGTCAAAGTGCCACCTCTCCCACCCTGTATCCTATCTCCACAGAGCAGAGAGGGGTCACAACAGGATTTGGGATGGGGGGAGTTTGCTGGCTGCTTTTGGGAGTGGTGCAGGGCCAGGACATGGGTGAACCTGCCTTAGCCTCACTGCATCACCACTCAGGAGCCACCTGAGGTAAGCAGTGTCCAGCTGGAGCCTACACCCTGAAACCCTACCTCTGTCATACATCCCCTACTGCACCCCTAGCCCCGAGCACCCCTGCACCCAGAGTCTGCACCTAGAACCCCCTCCAACACACCAACTGCCTGCAGCTCAGAGCCCCTTTCTCACTCCAAATCCCTTAATCTAAGGCCAGACCTTGCACCTCACCCCTCTGCCCCAGCCTGATGAAAGGGAGGGGGAGAGGATGGAGTGAGCAGGGCTGGGGTCTCAGAGAAGGGGCACAAAGGAGGCAGGGCAAGGGTATTTGGGTTTCAGGTAGATCTTGGATTGCACTTAAATTCAAAAAGTGATCACAAGCATAAAAAGGTTAGAGACCCCTGACTTAGGGTTTATTGTTGATAACCATCTGAACAAATAAGGTAGGCAGAGGGTATTACCTCTGTTAACTTTTGCTAGCAGAACTAGTCCTGGAACACCACGTCCAATCCTGGTGTCCATCCTGCGAAGAGGACGTTGAACAATTGGAAAGGATTCAGAAAAGAACTACAAGAATGACTCAGGGAAATAAGGCATACATTTTTAACAGTATGGGTAATTAACCTTTGGAACAATTTACGAAGGGATATGACAGATTCTCAATCATTGGCCGTTTTAAAATCAAGTCCGGGTGTTTCTTTCGCCTAAGAGGTACGCTCCAGGAATTATTTTCGGTAAAGTTGTGTGTCTGTGTGGTGAGATAGAGATCAGACGAAATGATCACAATGGTTTTTTCTGGCCTTAGAATCTATGGGCTGGTCTATACTCCACACCCATGTCGATCTAATTATGTCAGTATCTGCACTATCACCTTGCTCCCGCTGACGTAACTACCCTACAACACTGACATCATAACTCCACCTCCACGAGAAGCATAGGGATTATGCTGGTGTAATTAGGGTGAGGCAGTGAGTGTGTAAACATTGTGTTACTTACATCTGCTGTTGTCTGTCTTGTCAATTTCATGGCAAGAGCCATGACATTGACAAGAAAGCTGGGCAGCTACATCCCAGCTGTCCCCACACTCCTGGAGAGCTGGGTTGCTAGACCTCACTCCCAGCTGGGAGCCAAGGTGAGGAGCCTGTGTGGCTGGATCCACTCCCAGTGGGGAATGGGGCACTCTAGGTGGCTTCCTCTTGCTCCTAGCAGGGAATGGGGAGCAGGAAAGGGGTGGAGCCTATTGGGAACCTTTGGGACAGCCGGGATCCCAACAGGGAGCTGCCATGGGAACTAATAACCCAGCCTCTCAGCTCTGAACACTGCCCCTCTTAGGTCAGTGGAAGCATTCACACGCCGCTGACTGAAGTGTGGACATGAACTATGGCAGTCGTTATTGTCATGGCTTCAAATCAACTTAATATACATTGACTTACTGCAAGACATGCCTTATCCTGGTGAGAGGCGTAAGATGCTGAATCTGTTTAGTGTATTCAAGACAAAGTTAAGAGGTTACTTGATCATGGCCTGCAAGTACCTACACAGGGAAGAGATTTTTGATAGAACGTGGCTCTTCGATGTAGCAGAGATGGGCATTAATGAGATCAAGCAGTTGGAAACTCTGTGCAGTCTGTTCAGCCTATCAATAAGGCACATATTTTTGACCGGTGAGGATAATAAACCATTTGAATAACTTACCTTGGGACATGGTGGATTCTCTGTCAAAATGATACCCTTGAACTCAAAGAAGTTGTGGACTTGTGGCAGGAATTGCTGGGGGAGGATCTGTGGTCTATGCTATGCAGGAGAATGGACTTGATTATTATAATGGTCCCTTTAAAAATCTATAAACTCCGACAGTACAAGTTTGCTCATATTACAAAGGAAGGAGTGGTTATTGGGCTAGACTCCTCAAGGAATCCCTGGGGAATAGAAACAGAATAAATTCTCAACAGTAATTAAACAGAGCGTTGGTGAAAGTGCTCTGATAAAATCTCTTGACAAACCTGCTCCAGAAGATGTAAGCCATGTTGCCTGCAGAACCATCCTCTAGGAAGCACGCAGCCCAGGTATAGTCCGTGAGTAAAAAGGGTCTACAGAGCCCTTTAAAGGGGGAGAGAAAGCTTTCTTGGTGTGGATTTGGACATTGAAAGCAATGATGATTCTTTTCCAAGCAACGATCAAATAGCTGACCGGGTGCCTGAAGAAGTGAATCATTTTCTCTGGCTCTAAAAGTAAATTGTTCATCAGCAGTGAAGTATCTGAGCCACAGCCTTCAGGGATGGGCATGGGTGGGAATACTACAATAATCTGCCCAATCCCCACCACATGCAACATAGTGAGTGAGGCCAAAGGTCAGGGTTTCCCAGGGTTCCTCCCCTTTACTCACCAAAATGAGGGCGCCCTTGATCAACAAACAAATGTGAAGATAGTTAGCTGAAAAAATTGCCACACTAACTGCCCCCTATTAGTGGCAGGGAAACAATTTTTTTCCAATAACAACACTGTTGTAATAGAGTTCTCCAGCACTGCCCATCAGAAAGGATCCCAAAGCACCCTGAAGACTCCATATGGGCTTTCAGAAAAAAAGCTGCCAGTTTTCCTGACCTGGGGTAAAATGGATAAAACAGCTGTGAATGGGGCTTCATTTCTACCTCTGGGTAGAAACCAGATAATGGGGCAGGCACATTGGCCCTGATTCATCTAAGAGCTTATGCCTGTGCTTAAGGCATTGTTGGCCTGCGGACCTAAAAAAAATGAGTATATTCTGGCACAGTTTTGTTGTGACTATTTTGCTATACTATCCTGTAACAATCTTTCAAGCCTGCAGTAGTATTGTTGTAAGAGGGCGAGAGGAGGCGTTATTGTAGAATACCATATAAGTTCTAAAGACAAAGAACGCCAAGAGAAGGAACGGGTGCAGAGTTCTAAATGCACGTTGGCAGAGCAATGAGACATCCTTAGACCAGATATATCAGGTTTTCCAACATCACTATCGAGGTTATTTATTTGGTGTATGCAATCTGGTCAACGATGTTCAAGACAGAAAGACCTCCAGGAAGTTGAATCATTTTGCACTCCTCCATGTATATGTCGTGGTTTGTGGCCGCCCACACTGACACAGTGGACTGTCTCTAAAATGCCACCAAAATTCTGCTGCAGCACAAATTCCATGTCTGGTGCAATTATCTTTTGTGGTAAACCAAACCTAGGTTGATGTTGGGCAAGGGTTAACACAAGATAATTTTTTATCACTTTCTCGGGAGACATGAAGCTCACCACGAATCCTCTGCTAGTAAACTTATCCACAACAGACAACCTGAGGGCAGAATTATGTGGTGAATTAAACAAGGCTTTAATTACCAGTACGTGTGGCATATCACGTAATTTTGTCATAAGCTTTACTATGCTTTTTGCAATTATATCTGGTCAGAGCAATATTGCAGAGAACCAGTAACCATGGCAGATGAATAGATCTAAGTGTGCCTGAAATAATATTCATGGGAGAATTAAATTGTACGAGCCCATACTGGAGCTCATTACTGTGCTGCTGAATAACTGTGCTGAGGTTGAAGTGCAGAATATCTGGGTAGGAGCACCCACTATTGAGGTGCATTGACAGAGCTGAGAGCAACATCCCTGGCCTGGCACAGCAATGAGCTGGAATTCACTGGCAGAGCTGTTTGGTGTGTCCTCAGCTGGGTTACTAAAGGAGGGACACGTCAAATTTCTCACTGTAGATTTTAATCCATTTTTAATCCATGATTTAAAAGCTTTCAGAAAAGGGGGGAAATGATTAACAGTCCAGTTAACGGAAATAAAAATCATCTTAGGAAAAACAAGAGGTAAGAACCAGGCTGGGATGTGAGGGCTGAACTGTGCTTTCTCCCCTCGCTACAGCTCTCCCTGGAGCTGGCTCTGAGTCAGACTGAGCGAGGCTGGGGATCACAGCATCTGATTATGGGTATGTCTGTTCCCTGGTGTAGCTCTTGTAACAATCTTGTGACACTTCTTCTTGCAAGTCTTATTTGTCTTGCTCTCCATGTTTCATCCAACTGTGAACAGTTCCACATGACAGCTGCCTCTCACCTCTCTTTTTGGACTTCTTGTTCCCTTCAAATAGGCTGTCTGGTTCCCCAGCAACTGCAGGGCTGCAGGCTTCTGACTGTTTACTCAGTAGCCATGCCCTCCCATCTTACTGGGTCACCTGTCTGCCTGTTCATAGATGTATTTTCTCCTTCCACCTGAGATTCTGTGGCTTATGCAGAGGAGTCTCAAATCATGGTAACTGTATTACATAAAACCAGCATATTGTACAAATTAGAGATGGGTCAATCCTGTTAGAGCATCTTGTCCAGCTCCCTATACCCAACCTAGCAGAATTGCTTCTCTGCAGCACATTTTTTTCCAGGGCTTTCTCCATTCTCTTTCTATATAGCTTATGCATTGGGGCATCCATCATTTACTTTGGGAGACTGTTCTACAGTTTCATTGCTTCCACTGTTTGGAAAAATGTCCTAGCTACTCTCTAGATTTTCATTTTAATTTAAATCCTTTGAAAGTGAATTTTCACATCTGGATGGAAACCAGATGTAATGGGATAAGAATAGAGGCCCTGACCCAGCAAAGCTCTTATGCATGTGCATAAGGGCTTTTCTGGGGTGGGACTATAAATAGAGCCCTGCACAGATACAAAATTTGTATCTGTATCTGTAGCTGCAAAAATGAGCCAAGGATATCCATGTCCACATCTGTGGATGCAGATACCCACAGATACAAAGTGGACATCCGCAAATTTTCTGGGTTCTGTATTCAAAATTTGTATCTGCAAAAATGAGCTGCGGAGCTCTGCATCCATATCTGTGGCTATAAATACCCACAGATATAATGTGGATATCTGTGTATTTGCAGGGCTCTAGCTATAAAGAACACCACTTTCTTCTCAGTTTTCGCCATGTTCTCTGAGATTTACCCTTGGTAGGACACTCACCAATTTTTCTCTTACGTTGTGTTTACACCTTGCAGATGTCTGTAAATACTGCGTATGTCTCCCACATAGTCTTTATTTAGTCAGGCTATTTAGTGTTTGGCTATAAAGTTTGGCATTTCTAATTAATGCCTCCCTTACAGCTGTGGTTGGGATTAATTAGTTAGTGTTTATATAGAACATGACAGGCAGGGCATTGCCTATTCTTAAGGTTGCCCAACAATTCCCATTAGGTGACACTGTTTTGAGTTGCATAGTACTTTGCCAACACTGACATTTTGGACTAAAAATTTCTATACGCATTGGGAATTGTTTTGGAAGATTTTGACCGCAACTGTTCACTCATCCTGAGAATGAGGGCAAGGAGAAAAATTGTTTTGCCTGTGTTAGCATAATTTGTCAACCTTTTTTGGAATAGCACTGTGCCACCTTGCTTTAAAAGAGGTCCTTGAATTCTGGCAGGGGAGTCTCCTTTGCCTCAGGGATACCACAGTGAAAACCTTGGAAGATTCTGCCCTCACTAAGCATGCTCTGGACTCTCTCTGCTCCTCCTTGAGAGCAGACTACCATGTTTGGGGAGGAGAGACAGATCTGACAAAGGCATTAGGGTGCAGTGGGGAGAAGTGGGCTGGGCAAAGAAACTGGGCCAAAGACATATGGACAGACTTGGGGTGAGGGAGACTGGATGAGCCTAGGCCTGGGAATCATTGAGGGGAGGGGAGAGGCATGTCAGATGAGCTGGAAGGGGGAACTCAGATTTACTGGGCAAGGATACTGAGACTAAGGCCGTGTCCAGACTCAGGGGTTTTTTCGGGAAAAGTAGCCTTTTCCCGAAAAAACTTCCCCTGCGTCCAGACTCAAGCCGCGTTCTTTCGAAATTATTTCGAAAGAACGCGGCTTTTCTTTCGATGACGGTAAACCTCGTTTCACGAGGAAGAACGCCTTCCTTCGAAAGTTCCTCTTTCGAAGGAAGGCGTTCTTCAATGTAAAGAGGCCGTCTTCGAAAGAGAGCATCCAGACTTGCTGGGTGCTCTCTTTCGAAAAAGCGGATTTTTCTTTCGAAAGATCCGCCTGCAGTCTAGACGCGATCTTTCGAAAGATGCTCTTTCGAAAGATGCTTTCGAAAGAGCATCTTTCGAAAGAAGCCTGCAGTCTAGACATAGCCTAAGTGTGGAAAGGGAAAGATAAGTGTATAGCCCCAGACAAAGCTGACTGGAGCTATGTCTACACTGCTGGGAAAAGCTGCAAAAAGATACGCAAATTGCAGTTTTTTCCGCTTTTCTTCTGAAAGAGGCTTTTATGACATTTGGCCCGTCTACATGGGGCCAAATATTGGGAAAAACCACTCTTTTGAAACATCTCTTCTTCCTCGTAGAATGAGGTTTACAGGGATGCTGAAAAAAATGTGTCTGCTTTTCCTAATTTTTTTTCGGAAAAGCAGACGCGTTCCTTAGACATGGCAGAGCTTCTCCAGGATACCTCCAGTATCCCAGAAAAGCGCTGCAATGTAGACATAGCCTAAGTCTCAGACAGCAAGCCCAGAAAGAAAGAGTAGGATTAGCTGAGCAGGTACATTGTGATAAGCGGCCTGAGAAGTAGAGACTGGTAGATGTGACATTCCCCAGTGTACAATCTGAATGGTAGAACAGCTGTGTCTCCCAGCTCTCCAACTGGGGTGTGCCTTTTACACTGCTTTGCTGTGAGAACAACCGCTCCAGGTCTGTTTACACAGAGCCTCTAGCAAGCAAAATCACTGCCAGCTGAATGAAATATGCGCAGCAAACCAGCCAGTCCTGCATTATATTACAGAGTGCCACCAGCCAATTCCCAGGCCCAGACTTGTGCCTAGAAATGTGTATCTTGAACTTCCCAGCTCTTTCCTTATGTGCGGTATAAGCTCACAGAAATTTTTCATTTCATAAACAGAGAATGATATGCACAAACCTTGTTCTCTCCAAAGGAGACTTCCAAATACTTCAACCGAAAACATTAGTTTAAAAGGGTCTGGCACCATTGAAGTCTTTGGGGTTTTTTCATAGGCTTTTGCAATCCTGTCGAGTTAACTTGGCCCCTCAGTTAATGAGTTCCAGACACGTCCTCTAAGCCTAAGGTATGTCTGCTCTGCCACATAAGCCTGTGCTTGAGTCTGGACCCAAGCCCAGCTCCCCTCCCCTTGCATCTACTCTGCAGTTGTATTAACAGAGGGCTCAGATTTAGGGTCCCAGGACTTGTGCATTGTAGGTGTGGTCCTGCTTGACTTGGCTCCTGGGAGTCAGTGGTACGTCTGCACTGTGGCGCTTTTTCGAGGTACTATATAGCTATTCCGCATCTTGACAGAGCACCTGTTATTTCAAAGTATATTCAAAATAACGGGTGTGCTATTCTGATGTCCCAGTAACACTCATTCCATGAGGATTAGGGGATGTTTCGGAATAGCGGTTTATTTTGAAATTTGGTGCTGTGAAGTCCGTGCCAAATTACAAAATAAGCTATTTTGAAATTAATTAAAAATAATCTACGCAATTTGCATAGCTCAAATTGCATAGCTTATTTCGAGCTAAGGGTAGATGCACACAGACAGACATATTCCACAATTCCATAGGACAACTTCCACAGTCCTCTCTGTGCCAACAATCGGCAACCCACGCTAGTGAAAACAGAAGCCACCCTGCTGCAGAGCAGGCTGTAAGGTTTATTCAAGGTGCACCGCAAACCTGGAGCTAACGTGGAGAAATTTGGGAGAGTGGGAGATGCTAGGGGCTTGGGTCTGTGAACTGCTATGTGGATGCCAGAGCCCTAGGTTTTAGCAGATGGTAGAAAAGTTTTAACATGGAGTTTAAAAACAATGTAGATATTGAAGCCCAAAGTTCCCTAGCATGGGTCAGCTGACGTGAGTCCCACTAACCCTAGGCTTACATTGCAGTGTAGACATATCTAAAAAGAACCAGGGGTCTTGTGCTACTAGGCAGTGTGAACCCCAGAGTAAGACAGTGACACATAATGCACACATCACACGCCCACATGGTGCTGCATAAAGAAATAATAATATTTCTCTCTTACACACGTACACACAGCTGGAAGGGGAGAGGGTGAATGAGAGGAAGGAGGGTTATGCAACAAAGACAATTATTACAGCAACCCTTCTCCCCCCTCACTTCCCGCTGGCACAGTGTGAGGAACTATGTGCTGGGTGTTCCCCTTCAGTTCACACACTCAGGACCAGCCATTTCCAAAGCAGCAGCAGCAGCAGAAAGCCCCTTTTGCCTGGATCTCTGTTTCCCAGCCTTCCAACTGATGCACACTGGCCTTTCTTACACCTTCATAGCATGATCCAACCCTCTTCCTTCCACTTTTGTCCAGCTGCACCTGAATTCTACTCTTTTGGGAGTATTTCTGCCCAGTCTGCTTTCCCTGCCCCCCTCTGGACACTGTCTGCCTTGGGATTGTTCCAGGAAAGCTGTTATTACCAGCCACAGGAAATGGAGAGGAGGGAACTCCTCCCCTCCCCATACACATCCATTTCAGCCCCCTTCTGCCCCCACCGACTAGTCAGGAGATTGAACGCATGTTCTCTGACTCCAGAATTCACAACATGTTCCATGTGATACTGGGGTTGCCCTGGCGACAGAATGGCTGGTTGTGAGGCAATTCCAGGGTAAACAGTGAGACAGGGAAATAGAGAGAGGGAGAGTGATGCCCCACCCCAGGACTGTTCCTTGTTCTCACTTCGACCAGTCTGTTCCCTTCCCAAGGCCCCAGTTCCCTCCCCCTGCATAAGCTTCTGGCCATTTCAGTCATCAGCCCGCGTGAGGCGAGTGTGCTACAGGATGTGCTGGGGCAGGGGCT